AATTCTGGGTCGGCCTTCCCTGCGCCTGCGTCACCAGATGAGATTCAAGTTTGGGTAGGGAGTGGGGGGAGGCCGTTTTTGCATACTAAAATTGCGGGCGTGAGCGCGTGCGAGGAAGCCGGTTCTTCGGTTCATCTTTCCGCCGACCGAATGATGTGCCCGGCCCTACCGAGGGTTAAAACAGAGCCGTTATAACGAGAAGCGGCGAATAAAACTACTCATTCGGCGAAATGGAAGCGCAAAGATAGGCTTGGACCTGGAAGAACTTTATGTGAAGTTGTTCAGGAGTCACGTTGTATTTACACGACACCTGGTTGAGGCATCTGGCTAGAAACCGGGAGTGAGTGAGTTCTAGTCCCGCCTTTGGGTTCAAAACGAGCTGACTGACGGTGGGCCGATCACTTTCTCTCAGCCCTAGGAAGCAGACAATGGCAAACTACTTCTGAAACTGGTTGCCAAGGAAATTGCAGCGACTAGACCAGGCAGCCTCTGAGTATTGAACAGGATTGAAGGAAAACTTGTTTGATGGCTTGTTTGTACACATATATGTACATATGCCCATGTAAAATTTAGTGGATGCCATTCGTACCACATGGTAACTCTGGGTGGCTTACAATCATAAAAGATAAATATATGTATACTGAAAACATAAGTTAATACAAGCCAAACATTAACTGAACCAACTCCCTGTGTTCAAACAGTAGCATGCTCCAAATCAGAGTCTGATGAGTCTCCAGCTTGATCAGGGGTTGGACTAGAAGACCTCTAAGGTCCCTTCTAATTGTGTTCTGTTGAAGTCTGAAGACCAGGGAAATAAAATGGGGCAAAACTGCAGCTTTAAATAATGTAGCTTGGAAGGAAGTATAGATGAGTCAGATGATTTTTAAAGTCACTTTAGTAGTGTTGGAAAGCAGGGCAGGTATCCTATGACTACTTGGTACTGGTGTTCAATTAAAAATAATAATTAAGAAATTGAAAGAGTTCAATTAAAAGAGCAGCCTTCCAACCTCCAGATATGTGAAGGAATCACTGCAGCTACAATAATTATACTTCCATTTTAATTTAGGTGGACCAGGTTGAAAATACTGGTTAGGTAGTTAGTTCCTGATTCCAGAGGTGAAAAGCAGAGTGACTTGTGTGTATGCCTACCTGATTCTCCAGTATATTGGACATATTTATCACCTAGAGCACAGGTGTCAAACTCGTAACATCACATTGTCATCATGTGATGTATCGTGACTTTTTTCCCCTTCATTAAACCAGGGGTGGGCATGGCCAGTGCTGATGCATCTGGTTCACGGGCCAAGAGGTTTTTTTTTTCAAATATGTTTTTTATTTTTCAATATAAACATACATATTCTGTGGACAATGCACTGACTGGGTCAAGACTTTTTTAAGCAACAGTAACAATGATAATACAAATAGATATGTGTAATTCTAATCTTCCAACTTCCACAACTTCAACAATGGTAGTCTCTTTTCATAATCCATTTCTCATTTTCCCATTAGTTCATTTAAATGTAGATAACATTTCTTTGTGCCTTGTATTTATAGCCCCTAAATACTATTATTTAATGTTTTTAAGAGTTATTCATAGTTTTACCATATCGGGCCAAGACTTTGACAACCCATGAACTAGAGGCAGAAATCAACCTCTATGAGAAATATAGGTAATTCTCACTAACCGAATGTAATTGGGACTGGGAATTCCATCACTAAGGGATGTGGTGATAAGGCATAATATCATATGACTGTTCTGGCATTCCATGTTGCCATCATTAAGCGAATACTGTGCAGTTCCAGTGTTCCCTGGCCACATGATTGATCTTTTTTCCAAATTATTGCTGGCTTCACTATTCACTGCTGGTTGGACGCCAACAAATTGTGCAACAATTATTGCAAATTGTGATCATGTGAGAATGGTACATCATAATTATGAGCAAATTGCAAGTGGCCAAATTGCAATTACATGACTGTAGGGATGCTGGGATGGCCACAACTACACGAACCTCTGATCAAGTGCCCTTTGTTCAGTGTCATAATAACTTTGAACAGTCGCTGAATGGACATTAAACAAGGGCTACATATAACGTAGTTCCTCACACTCTGATATATTCAAGCAATCTGTTCATATATTACAAAACTGATTGGCAATATATTTATCTAAAATGTAAGTGATCATATTAAGAGCAACTGCGTTCTCTTTGCTGATGATGTAAAGCTGTTCAATACTACAGACAATACTGCTACCCTTCAAAAAGATCTTGACTCTGTATCAGAATGGTCAAACAAATGGCAACTTCAACTCTCAACAAATAAATGCTCTGTCTTACATATTGGCAAAAAAAATCAGAAAATAAAATACAAGCTGAATAGTCAAGACCTTGTTGAGGATCCAAACTCTGTAAAGGACCTTGGAATACTCATCTCTAATGATCTAAGTGCTAGAGCCCACTGTAACTACATAGCCAAAAAGGCATTAAGAGTTGTTAACCTAATCCTACGTAGCTTTTTCTCTGGTAATATCACACTACTAACTAGAGCATACAAAACATTTGCCAGACCAATATTCAAATACAGCTCATCAGTCTGGAGCCCACATTATGTATCTATTTATTTATTTATTTGATTTGCCAATTGTTTACAAGATAATAAGTATAAGTGTATACATAGTTGTGAATACATGAAATGGGTACATATAAGAAAAATAAAAGAAGAATAAGAGAAACAATAGGACAGGGACGGTAGGCACGTTGGTACGCTTATGCACGCCCCCTACAGACCTCTTAGGAAAGGGGTGAGGTCAATAGTAGACAGTCTAAGGTTAAAGTTTTTGGGGTTTGGGGAAGAAACTACAGAGTCGGGTAGAGTATTCCAGACATTGACCACTGTATTGCTGAAGTTGTATTTCCTGCAATCAAGTTTGGTGCGGTTAACTTTGAGTTTGTATCTATTGTGTGCTCTTGTGTTGTTATGGTTGAAGCTGAAGTATTCATTGACAGGTAGGACATTGCAATGTATGATTTTATATACCATGCTTAAATCAGACCGAAGACGGCATAATTCAAGGTTTTCTAGTTCTAGAATTTCAAGTCTGGTGGCATAAGGTATTCTACAACGAGTAGAAGAATGGAGAACTCTTCTTGTGAAATATTTCTGGACTTTCTCAATTGTGCTAATATCAGATACGTAATGTGGGTTCCAGACTGATGAGCTGTATTCGAGTATTGGTTTAGCAAATGTTTTGTATGCTCTAGTTAGTAGTGTGATATTACCAGAGAAAAAGCTACGTAGGATTAGGTTAACAACTCTTAATGCCTTTTTGGCTATGTAGTTGCAGTGGGCTCTAGCACTTAGATCATTAGAGGTGAGTATTCCAAGGTCCTTTACAGAGCTTGGGTCATCAACAAGATCTTGACTATTCAGCTTGTATTTTATTTTCTGATTTTTTTTGCCAATATGTAAGACAGAGCATTTATTTGTTGAGATTTGAAGTTGCCATTTGTTTGACCATTCTGATACATAGTCAAGATCTTTTTGTAGGGTAGCAGAATTGTCTGTGGTATTGAACAGCTTTACATCATCAGCGAAAAGAACGCAATTGCTCTTAATATGATCACAGAGGTCATTTATGTAGAGTATGAAGAGAGTTGGTCCTAGAACACTGCCTTGGGGGACACCACTATTGACAGGTACAGAATTTGATAGGACGCTCCCAATTTTGACCATTTGTTGTCTGTTTGCCAGGAATGCTTCTATCCAGTTATTCAGTTGTCCAGAGATACCATAGGATTTTATTTTTAGGAGTAGTTTGTCGTGTACCACTGAATCAAAGGCTTTACAGAAGTCTATGTAGATTGCGTCTATTGCTTTGCCCTGGTCGAGTTGTGTCGTCCATATGTTTTTGCAGTGTAAGAGTTGCAGATTACAGGATAGTTTTTTTCTGAAACCAAATTGTTTATTGGAGAGTAGGTTGTTTGTCTCTAAGTGGAAGATGATGGATTGGTTAATAATTGATTCCATGACTTTACAGGTGACGCAGCATAAGGAGATTGGTCTGTAATTTTCAACTAGGCTGGGGTCTCCCTTTTTGAAGATGGGGATGACTGTGGCTTGTGACCATAGGTTAGGCAAGGAGCTGGTCCTGAAAGATTTTTCAAAGATTATGCTTAGAGGTTTGGCTATTAACACAGTTGAGAAAGTCCAGAAATATTTCACAAGAAGAGTTCTTCACTCCTCGTTGTAGAATACCTTATGCCACCAGACTTGAAATTCTAGACCTAGAAAACCTTGAATTACTCCTTCTTCGGTCTGATCTAAGTATGGTATATAAAATCATACATTGCAATGACTTACCTGTCAATAAATACTTCAGCTTCAGCCATAACAACACAAGAGCACACAATAGATACAAACTCAAGGTAAACCACACCAAACTTGATTGCAGGAAATACGACTTCAGCAACAGAGTGGTCAATGTCTGGAATACTCTACCTGACTGTGGTTTCTTCCCCAAACCTCAAAAATGTTAACCTTAGACTGTCTACTATTGACCTCACCCCTTTCCTAAGAGGTCTGTAGGGGGCGTGCATAAGCGCACCAACGTGCCTACCGTCCCTGTCCTATTGTTTCTTTTATTTTTCTTATATGTACCCATTTCATGTATTCATAACTATGTATATACTTATACCTATTATTTTGTAAGAGATTGACAAATCAAATAAATAAATAAAAATAAATAAATAAGTGGCTTCTATGTAGTCTGGATTTTGCCTTTAAGGATAGGCTAGTTACTTTGATTTTCATAAGCATCAAGAAAGAAAATATTGCAATCATCTTCTTTACTATCTCTTTTATTGCTCTGGGTGTCCTGGCAATAACATGTCTTGGGGACAAGGTGGGATTAAAACAAATCATCTCCCCCCCAAATATTAACTTTGCATCCTTTGTTTTTTAAAGCTATGTGAGTTGAACTAGCTGAATTTTATCTGTGCAGAATTTTAGTGGATATATTTCTTTCCTGGAAAGTAGGAGAAATGCTAAATAAATAAACAAACAAGAAATTATGGGATGGGAGATAGGAGCAGGACTACCAGATCTGGGCTGCAATAATCCAGGCCACCACTAGATGACAGCAAATTCCTCTGGGTGTGTGAATTGTGCAATCCGAACCTGATAGTTGCAGACACAAGTGCCATTTAATCATTGCTGGCATTCCCTGCCTCCAGCTTTGGTGGTACCGGTAGTAAAGGAATGGCAATTGTTGCCTAGCAACCACTATACTTATTCTTTCCTTCCTCTAGCCAGGGCAACTATTAAAAAGGAAGAGAGTGCGAGAAAGATGATGTTCCTGCATGGAGCCATGTCATTTTCTTCTCCTCTAGATTGCAAGATTCAGCTGAAAGAAACTATTGAACAATAACAATTTTGTTTTTAAGTGGCAGTGATCTTGCAGGAGACAGCATGTTTTCTGCTTCAGATACCAAAAAAT